ATATATATATATGAAATAATTTTAGTGGGAGCATCTTCCTTGGTTACTGTAAACTTGGGAAAAGTCCTGCCACCCCCCTTTTATATAGAATGTGCTTCTGGGATCCCACTGTTTTATTAGTTTTTATAAACCAGTAGCTTCTACCTTTGGACGAGTTCCAATGCGGGCAGGAGGCGTGTTTGTGGTGCCATTGACATGAATGGTATTTACCACGCCTCCTCCTGCCCCAGAACGTGGGAAGGATTTGATCCAATGCGTTCATAGAATGCAACTGTGCCCTGAATGCACTGGATAGTGTGAATGGGCCCTTAAAACCAAATCAGCACTACTGTTTCCATGCTGAGAAGTTTCCTTTAATGCTCATCAATAGTTAAAGCAGAACTCCAGGATTTTTTTAAATTCAACTCTTGCAGTGGGGCTACCCCCCACACTGCAAGGGTTAAAGGAGAACTATGAGGTGAGTGATTTCCACTCATCCTCATAGTTAGAGCCGACCTGTGACCAAGAAGCTGTCACAGGTCAGCTCCATCGATCGGGAGGTGAGCAGAAACATGCACCAATCCGCTCACTTCCTGATCGTCTCCCTGCAGTGACTACAAATCCCAGTAATACATTTATACAGTAAATGAGATGTCCCTGAGATGGACTCAGGGACTGGAAACGCGCTGGACTCTTCTGGCCTTAGTGACGCGCCGGACTCGGGGATTAACGACGCGCCGGACTCGGGGATTAACGACGCGCCGGACTCGGGGATTAACGACGTGCCGGACTCGGGGATTAACGACTAAAACACACTGGTTTTAGGACCAATCTGAGACTCCACAGAGCCCATCTGGGGCCCGGCCACCTCCACCATGCCGCCCCTTGTACGGTCGATATGCATGTAAGGGGCCCCTCATATGAGTGTCGTCCATACCCCCCTGATGCTCCGACTGTGTCTTCCCTCAGTTTGAATCCTATCTCTCCCCCCCGTGTGTGCAGCATGGGGTCGTGGAGGTCTGCTAACTCTCTTCACTCTGCTAGGGATCCCCCCCCCCCTGTCAGCTCACCTTCTCCTGGACTCCGTTCTGTGTTCTTTCAGAGGACAGCTCGTGTCCGCACAGTTTTCCCAGCTCATCTGTCAGCTGGTGATGGGGGCGGATTTCTCCTGCCTGTCTGAGTGGCCGCTCTGTGCTCCTGATAAACGAAGCTCTCAGAGCAGGCCATCGGGCATAGCGGACCGGCCCGAACACAATCAGGTTGATTGTGTTCGGCCCGGCCCACCGGGCAAGTGCCCGGTTTGCCCTATGGCCAGTCCGGCCCTGGTTGGGATCATTGTCCTGTTGGAAGGTCCAATGACGCCCCCGGCTTCCTCACAGACAGCATGATATTTTCTCCTAGGATTTCCTGATACTTCAGTGAATCCATCTTGCCTTCTGCACGCTGCAGGTTTCCAGTGCCAGAGGATGTAAAGCAGCCCCAGGGCATCACTGAACCACCACCATGCTTAACTGTAGGCAGAGTGTTCGTTTCAAAAGTAGGTCTCCTTTCTCCAGACATACTGCTGATCCATACAGCCTAAAGTTCCAGTTTTGTTTCATTGCTCCATAGAACAGAATCCCAAATCTTCTGTGGCTTATTTATATGATTTTGAGCATATTGGAGCCAACTTTTCTTGTGCTTTTGGGTCAGTAGCGGTGTACGTCTTGTAGTCCTGGCATGGAAACCTTCTGAGTTTAGTATGCGCCTTACAGTGCGAACTGAAACCTCAGTGCCTGTTGCCACCAAGTCTTGCTGCAGGTCTTCTGCTGTCACGCAAGGGTTTTTCCTCAACCTGCTTTCTCAGAAATCTGGTTGCATGTGTTGATAGCTTCAGTTTTCTGCCCTGTCCAGGTAGTGTAACCACTGTTCCTTTAACTTTGAAGTGGCAAACTATTCTTCCACCAGTGCCTCAAGTAACATTCAGTGCCTTCGCCATCTTTTTGTATTCTGTTCCTTGTTTGTGAAGGGCAATTATCTCTGCTCTGAACTTTTTGACCCTATTTTAAACATGCAGTCAAACGTGACACTCAACAAACCCGTATTTCATGTGTTTAGCTCAAGCACACCTGGTGCAACTAATGAAGCTCTTGATTAGTTGCATCAGGTGTGGTTGAGACAACACCAGTTTTGCAGATGCGTGTTCTTGTGAGGGATTCTATTCAGGGGGTTGAATCATTTTGAGACAGTAGAAGTCATTAAAAGATACATTTTCAGTTGAATTTGGGGAAACCACTAGAAAGATTTGTTGTGTTGACCTATTCCAATTGCTTTTGTTTGATTTGTTCAATGCAAACAACTAAAAGTTTGTAAATTTTGCCAATAAGCCGGATATCCAATGGGGGTTGAATAATGTTAATTACAACTTTAAGTGATCAGCTTAATTTAAATTTTTTTTTTATCAACGTGTATTAACACAGTAAAATGTCTTTTTATTGCTTACTCATTTACATGTATATCAAATCTCATTACAAAACCAAGCTACGGAATAAAAACTTTAGTCTCTATATAATTCTTATCTTTATACGTTGAACTCGATAGACTTCAACCTTTTTTCAACCTGACTATGTAGCTATGTAATTAAAACAATGTACAATTAATTGCACACTAATTCACAAAGAGTTAGAATTGTATGTACTCACGGAGCAGAAGTGAGGTGATTATGTACACTGCGACTTTCCTTAAACAGCATTCTATAAAGACATTGAGTAAAAAAATAAAGTAACTATATTCTATTTACACAATCGAAATACAGTAAGTTTGTCTCTACCATAGCATGGAGGGTGTTACCTGGATTGCATCCAGCCCTTTGGCCATAAAGGCTTTACTTCTGTTTCCATAAAGTTTTTTAGATAATCTTCTGCTGAATGACTTTTATTGGGCTCAAGTTCATAGCATCCCAGCTTAATCTTCACTAGATTACAAAGCAGGTTCCTATATAAAATGAATAAAATAGTGAGACACAACACCCAATTTTAAGCAGCATCCGTTATGCTACGATAACATTTAGAAAGAAAAAATATATATTTAAATATAGTCCATATTCCTTGATTTTGGTGGTCTTGCTCGTCAACGTCAGACTGTTAAGGTGCCCATACACCTTACGATTATCGGCCGATTTTCGTATGCGATCAACTTTTCGGCCGATAATCGTATGTGTGCATTGCAGTGTCCGACCAACAGTACTGTACAATCGTACGACTTTTGACGGTCAAGCATGTTTGAAAACGTTGCTATATCGTACGATTGTCATAAGGTTGCTGGCGTTTCCGTCCGTCAAAAGTCGTACGATCTACACTGCGCTTGCGCTAACGAAAATACGGCAAATCAATTACCGCATTTTGTCCAGGTGCTTTTAGTTAATTACGGCTAAATTAATCTAGCGATCATCAGGGCAGGATGGGGCTGCCGTACGAAAATTGTACGACTATTCGATAATTCGACTTTTCGTCCGATAATCGTAAGGTGTATGGGCACCTTAAGAATGCAAATCTTTGCTTCTGAGTCCGTTAAAGTTCAATCTGCTTACATGCTGTCTTCCTTGGGTCCTCACCCACCCCCTCCCCCCCAATCAACACGCTAATAAAATGATTTAACCACTTGCTGACCAGGTGTTTTCATTTTTCAGTATTTAGCGCTGCAGTACTTTGATATTTATTCCGTCATGCAACGATGTACCGAAATGAATTTTATACAATTTTTTTTGGGCCAGATAGAGCTTTCGTTTGGTGGCATTTAATCACCACTGGGGTTTTTATTTTTTACTATGTTAAGGAAAAATTACTGAACATTTTTAGAGAAATGTTAGGAAACAATTATTATTACCCAATTTCTTTGGTAAAATATAAAAGACGGGGTCACGTCGGGTAAAATGACACCAAACATGTCAAGCTTTAAATTTGCGCGCACCCGCAAAAAACTACCATACCCAAAATTGACCATAGGCGACGCTTTAAAAGCTTTTACCACTCATCAGTTTAGTGTCATCTGTGATTAATGGCCCTAAAATTATTGCTCTCACTGCGACGTTCGCAGCGATATGCAACATATGCGGCTTAATGAGCGCAATAGTAATCTTCGCACTTATGTGCACCCGACACGTGTTTGCATGCGTGGGCACTTTAAAACATTAAACAAAGGTGGGCACTTTAAAAAAAATGTGTGCTTCTTTTATTCTTTTTCATGTGTAATTTTTTTTGCAACTATTTTTTATTTCCTATAATATTTTTTTTCACTTTACTTTATTGCTATCACATAGGGGGGCTAAGAAAACCCCCTATGTGATAGCAAAGAGGATGTGACAGGTCCTCTTTATGGAGACATCAGGGGTCTCCAAGACCCCTAATGTCACCTAGGACCCCCCAAAGATGCTGATGAAGCAGAGATCTGCTTCATCAGCTTCTCTCCAGTGTCTGAAGCTGGAGAGTGACAAGAATGCGGAAGCGATGCAATATACATCACTTCTGCATTCTGACAACTGAGAGGGGACCGGAGGGAGTTCGTGTACTGAACTCCCTCTGATCCCCTGTCAGAGAGCCACTATGCTGGTCAGCGTGACAGCGGGAGGGGGGGGCGAGGATGGGGTCACGAAGCTTATACAATCGCTTGCATGTTAACAGGCATCGCTGCCTGTATTTAAATTTAGGTAGTTTCCAGCGGCGTGTGCAAGTGGGCGGACCTAGCGGGATGTTTAAATACGCCCGCTCAGATCTAGGAAGCTCCCGGCCAGCCGTATTTGCACAATGGCCGGTAGGCGTTTAATTAAGACAGAACTCCAGGGTGAATTATTAACCCTTGCAGTGGGGCTATCGCCGCTTGCTTTGGTCTAGGAAGTTATACTCACCCGATCCTCTGAGTCGCCCAGCTTTGAGAACACTCCCTCCAGCCTCTCTCCTCCTATGCTGCAACAATGGAATGTCCCATGGCATCCTCATGTTCTATACATAGTTACATAGTATTTGACATTGAATAAAGACACAGGTTAAATCAAGTTCAACCTTTGTGTGTCCGTGTCTACATGAGTTCCTGTGTGATATTGTTTTTAGGAGTACCTGTACCCCTGTATGTTATGGTCTCTGAGGAAGGTATCTAAATGCTTTTTGAATGATTCAATACTCTCAGCTGATACCACTGTTTGTGGCAGCGAGTTCCAGACTTTAACCACTCTAACTGAAAAAAAGCCCCTTGTGGTTAAATCTTTTCTCTACCAATGTTAGGTTGTGGCCTCTAGTCTTTGTTATGGAGTTTACTGTAAATAGTTTGTTGATGTTGCCATCACCATGAAACATTTTGTACATCAAAATCATGCCCCCCTTAATCCCCTCACTTCCAGCGTGAACAAGTTTAAATTTAGTAACCTTGTCTCATAGCTTAGGTCCTCTAGCCCCTTAATTAGTTTAGTTGCCCTTCTCTAGGCTCTCTCCAGCTCAAGGACATCCTTTCTGTGGATTTGTGACCAAAACTGAACTGCATACTCCAGATGAGGCCGAACCAATGATCTATAAAGTGGCAAAATGATTGCCTTGTCTCTACAGTACATTCCCTTTTTAATACAAGACAGCACTCTGCTCGCTTTGTTTGCCACAGCCTGGCATTGCCAGCTATTGTTCAATATGTGGTCTACTATGACCCCCAAATCTTTTTCCATTTCTGACTTCCCTACTGGAGTACCCATTAATATGTATTCCTCATGCCTATTTTTAACCCCAAAATGCATTCCTTTACATTTTTCAACATTAAACCTCATCTACCATATAGTTGCCCACTCCCCTATTTTATCCAGGTCCTCCTGTAATGTTATACTGTCTACACCCGTGTCTATTACCCTCCCAATTTTAGTATCATCAGCAAACACAGAAACATGCTATCAACACCTTCCCTGATATTGTGAATAAACAGGTTAAACACTATGGGGCCTAGCACAGAACCCTAGGGCACGACACTCTCGACATTAGACCAATCTGAAAAAGAGCCATTTATCAATACTCTCTGGGCACGTTCCTGTAGCCAGTTCTCTATTCATGTGCACACCATTTCATCTATGCCCATAGACCTCAGCTGGTGTAGTAAGCTTTTTTTGTGGTACTGTCTCAAAAGCTTGGCAAAATCCAGATATACCACATTCACTGGCCTCCCTCCATCCAGATCTCTACTCACCTCTTCATAGAATGTTAGTAGGTTGGTCTGACAAGAACGTCCCTTCCTAAATCCATGCTGATTATAGTTTATTATACCATTGTCACAAACTAAATCCACTAAATGGTCTTTTATCATTCCCTCTAACAGTTTGCAAGCTATTGATGTTAGACTGACTGGTCTGTAGTTCTCAGGTTGGTATCTTGAACCTTTGATATGCTATGTATAGAACATGCTGCAGTTGGGGGGGATTTAGTGAGAGACTCCAGGGGCCGGTCAAAGAGCAAGCAGGCTCAGAGGATCAGGTAAGTAACTTTATTTTCCACCCTAGACACAAACAAGCACTTAACCTTTGCAGTCTGGGGGGTAGCCCCACTGCAAGGGTTAATAATAATTTTCCCTGGAGTTTTTCTTTAAACCCATTTTATTACATACCTTATTTTAGACACAGTAACAACATTACCACGTCTTCATGCTTCCTTATGCAATGCAGTCATATTACGGCTGCAGGGTGCTGTACATCGTTCTCTGAAAACAAGAAGCTGTGGTGTGTTGCCTGGCGTGGTTTTCATGCAAATACAGTCTGCCTAAAACATCCACTTCTCCAGATCGACACCCATCCATCAAGGTATTTTAATATTTGCATAACTTGCATAAACTGGAGCAGGCAGAATCTGGAGCAGTTGCCCATGGCAACCAATAAGCTTCCAGGGGTGTGGAATTCCTATCGCCCGACGCCCGGACTTCTATCCTTTTTTAAAGCTAAACCAAACAAACGGAACTTGGTTGTCATGGGCAACTGCACCAGATTTTGCTTGTTCCGTTTTGATAAATTCCCCCCACTGTATTTAAATGCTACGCTGTCAGTTACAGTAATCAGGAACTGATCAGTATGGTTCCGGACCATGTAATCCTTTCAACAGCCAATGATACGGATTACATTGCTGTGTCTAAAAACAAGCAGATATTTGCCTGCTGAACTGTCATTATGCCTCGCACAAAGCAAGGTGCTTTAACAACCGCAGCTGGCTGACTGCTTCTGTCAATGTAATAAGCACAACAGCAATTAACGTAGTTAGTAAAAGTTAAAAACAAATAGCCCATTAAAAAGGACAAGATAACAAAACAAGAATTTACTGCAAACTTCAATCTAGAGATTTAACCCAAAGCCATTTTATTTGGCCACCAGTCTGATGGGCAGTTTCATTAAACACACTTCCTCTGAGTCAAAGTCGTCCTGGGTCAAGCCCAGCCTGTGACTGAACACTAAAGGAGATGCAGCACAGTGATGCACTCATCTCTGTAACTCTTTCTCTGCCCATCAGCATGCTTCCTGTCCACACATGAATTTACTGGCCGTTTGTACTGCTGTTTACTCTCCCACTCCTGGGGCTGATACCAGGTCAAATTCAGGTACTCGAAGGCCCCGTTCCCACTGCGCGATATGCAAATCGCGCGTTTGTCGCACGATTTGCATATTGCGCGACATCGCGAGATTTCCCGCGCGATGTCGCGTTCAAGCTTGCATTGAGCAAGCTTGAATCGCGGCTAAATCCGCTCCAAAAAGGGTCCTGCTGTAGCGACACACGACCCGCGACAGCAGGACCCTTTGCCCCATTGGATTGCATTAGAGCGCGATATCGCGCGGGAATTTGCCGCGATATCGCGGGAATTACCGCGCGATAAATCGCTCAATGTGAACAGGGTCTTAGTGTGTTTATTTTTGCTTTCAAAATTTGTACCAAAAAAAATAAATTCACAGTTAGACTTACCGGTAACTATTTCTAGGACAGCACATG